AGCCTTGTCCACATGGTAAAACCCTGCCTCTCCTAACAGTACAAAAATTAGTGGGAGTGGAGGCCTATGCCCGTAATACCAGCTACTCAGGTGGCTGAGGCAGGAGAATAACTTGAACCCAGGAGGCAGAGGTTGTAGTGAGCCGAAATTGTGCCACTGCACTCCAGCCTGAAAGACAGAACAAGATTCTGTCAATAAAAATCATGAAACTATTTCCCTGTAAAGGATGGGGTAAATGTGCTGACCTAAGTAACATCTAAAAGAGTGTAAAAATTAAAGGCAGAATGAACTATACATTACTCTGTAATTATAAAGTTGTTTCTCATACGAATCTGTTTCAACAATTCTGAAACCAATATGGTTGTATACTAGAACTGAACAGTTAAATTAATGAATGGCAGGTAGTTGATCCCACATTTCACATTATTGGAGTAGGAGGTTACAGATTAGCATGGAGAGTATTCTAGAGTGATCCATGTGATAACCAATTAGTGTTAACGATGAAATGAACTTATTCTCAGCTTAAGATATGTACTAGACAGAAATAGTTATAGGTAGGTATATACAACATATATGAGAGCATATCCACATTTCTACCTCCTTGATCTGTCAGCTGAGAAGGCCTAAAGACATGTGAATGATTCAGTGCAGCAAACAGACTTAGAACCCAAATAATAGTTTCTTTTTTTTTTTTAAAGGAACATAAACTTTATTTATCTTCATGGTTATCTTATCTTAAAAGGTATAAAGACAGGAAATACTTTTCAATGGCCATGGTGGAATAACTAGGAACAGACTTTTCAACCCACAGTAACAGCTAGAACAGTGAACAAAAAGATATAAAAGTTTTTAGGTATTGGATAATAAGCAGTGCAGGGCTGTGATTTCTGAGATGCAAAAGAAATGAAGTGAGACCTAACACTGCTCTGGCTTTCTGCCTAGAAGCACTTTTCAGACTGTGGTAAAGGGAGGAAGAACTCAAGCAGAGCTTGGAACTATGCCAGAGAAGTGGAAGCTATGCCTATAAAATTCCAGAAATCTGCCTAAGGATTCACTTGAATCTGTGGCCAACAACTAATACCAGCACACAGTTTGAAGCTTTGACTAACTTCAAAAGGTACGGCAAAGAATAAATAGAGATCTACAGGTGGAACAATTCCCAGAGCTCATATGGTTCTGACTAGAAGTCTTCCATGCTGAAAAACTAGGAATTCACTAGAAACCTCAGAAAACTCATATCTTTTTTTGTTTGTTTGTTTGTTTTTAATTTATTTTAAGAAAGAGAGAAAGGAAGAAAGAGAAAGAACCAAATAATAGTTTCTAATAACATTATTCCAAAAAAGGAGCCAAGGAACCTTTGAGAGTTAACTAGGAAAGCGGGGAGTTGTGGGGGCGGAATTTATGTGATGAACCCAGAGCATATTATAGTTCCAGAAGTTAAGGAAGCACTGAAAGAAAGTGAGAGAGAGAAAGGTAGGGAGGAAGGAAGGAAGGAAAGAAGCAAAAGAGAAACGCAATGATGGAGCTATGTCAAAATAACACAGGAACAAAGTGAAAGGGTTTCCAGTGATTAAAGCCAGAATAATTGGTGTAAAAAAAATAAATAATGTAGAATGTTAGAATTATTATCTCAAGTATAAAATAATTTTTATAACATATTGGTAGAAATACATAATTGAACAAATTAGAAATGGAAGAAAAGAGACAAATGTCCCCTGCAAAATTCTCACACATTTATGTAGCTGTTCTGCCCTCAAGGAGGTAAAGCATAACTTCCCACTCCCTAAGTGTGAGTTGCACCTACTGACTTCCTTCTGAAAAGTGCAATATGAAAAACAGAGAAGAGGGACTTTTCGGTGAAGAAACCTGACAAGCACTATTTCAACCAGATGATCAAGGCTGACATTAGCAGTGATAAGTCATATTGATAGTACACAGAAATAGATATATATGTATAATATATATTTTGATATACACACAATATATATTTTATGTATATATATATATATATATTATATCCAACTCTCTAACCTACCTACCTGCCTACTTCACTATTATATCTACCTAGATAAGCTTAAGCACTTAGTGATAACACAGCTTTTAATCCAGCATCACAGTGCTCATTCTAGTCATCTCCATTGATTATTTTCAACTTCTTTCCCTGAGAGTGGAATACATGGCTTTCTTATCTCTAATCTAATTGTTTATTTAACTGTTCAAGCTTAGCATAGTTTTAGAAATGCCAGCCAATGCTCATCTCCATATAATTCAAATACATCTCAAAAAGCTGTCTGAAGCTGTGACAATGTAATCCACACTCCCACCAAGTTCAGTAGTTTTCTAACATTAATCCTCCAAGATGCAACTGTAAGTTCTGTTTTGCCAATAAAGTTTTTATCACTAATATCGCCCTTTAACCATGAATGAGTCTCACCTTAAAACATTTAGAACCATTTATACTTCAAATGTAGAGCCATATTATTGGCTGCAGTATCACTCAAAGAAAACAAACAAACAAACAAAAAACCCAAGTTCACTAGGGTCTATTTGTCAATTATAAGTCATCTATTGGAAAAAGAAATTCTGTTCGCTGGCAAAATTCAAGATCTAGAAAGCGCATATTTCTTAGATAAATGTTTATTCTTCTTAGGTTAGAAAGACCTATTTTATCTTTAATAATTTTCCTAAAGGAAAATTAGATAGTGAGAGTCATTTTTTGTGCCTTAACTAAAATACGATTTCCTCAATTATTGAAATGACATTTCAATGACAGACTTGAGATTCTAGAAATTGCATATTTATTAGCAGTATTATGATTTTTCTTAAATATGAAAAAGTCTCTAAACTATGTAATGTTTTTCCTTTGTTTACACTGGCTCTATTAAGTTCTCACATCATAATCTCCCATGACTCAAGAGAAAAGATGAGATTAATAGCAACGTCCCAGTAGAGGCTTCTCTGAGGACATTAGAAGAAAAGTGCACCTTATTTTAAACCCTCTAGAGCCTGAAAATAAGGACTAAAACAAATAAACCTTCCAGTCTCCACCTACACAAGTCAAAGTGGAAAATAACGATGTTGAGAAAACACTGATTTTTCATTAGAGGAGTGGAGAGAACACTGGACTTTGCTTACAAGGATTAGTGAGAACTACAGTGTGGTGATGTGGGTACTCACATCCATACATTAGGCAGAGCCATCTTCCATTTCCATCAACCAATGGCGCTGATGTAAACACAGGTATCTCTATTTGATTGCTTACTTTTTGTTTGATTGCTTATTGCAAGAGTCAAATCTATGTTACAGTCACTGGAAAAATATCCCATACTGTAAAAAAATTAGTTATAAGTTTAGCATATTGATGAAAAAAAAAACCCTAGAGTTTCACCTTTTCAAAAATAAAAACTTAATAGACAAAACAGAGGAAACAATTGAATTGAAACTACAAAAAAAATATTTAGGGTTGGGCACTGTGGCTCATGCCTATAATCCCAGCACTTTGGGAGGCCGAAGTGGGCAGATCACTTGAGGTCGGGAGTTCGAGATCAGCCTTGCCAACATGGTGAAACCCCCTCTGTACTAAAAATGCAAAAATTAGTTGGGTGTGGTGGCAGGTGCCTATAATCACAGTTACTCAGGAAGCTGGGGCAGGAGAATTGCCTGAACCCGGGAGGTAGATTTTGCAGTGAGCCACTGTACCCCAGTCTAGATGTCAGAGTAAGACTCTGTCTCAAAAGAAAAAAAGTTATTTAGTAGAAATTTCATAGATAATGAAATTTGACAGTTTTTGAAAGCATGTGGCATAATGCCGCACATATACAATGTGCCTACTGAATGAATATAGCTGCTACTGAATAATTACAAAAGTGATAATAATAATGAGGTTTAGTTTCTGATGGTAAAATTAAATTCAGCCATGAGAATTCATCTACTTTTGAATATTATTAAAAGTTCGAGGAATGACATTTTCAATAACTCCGTCTAACATCAATCTGTAAGTGAACATTTGTTTTAAACATGCAATTAGAGATTTGGAAGTTACGGATTCCTAAGTCCTCATCCATCCAATTTCCATGTTACTATAATTAGACATTAAAGTTTCACCTGTATTAGGGTTTTATATATTGTACATCATTGGTTTTAAATATTGTATATCTATTTTATATGTATAATAAATATAATTTGTTTAGAATAAAATTAAGGTAAATAAGTATTTCTTGAAAGTTATTACTTACCACATAATGTTGCTCAATAAATATGTTTATTAATGCAAACCACAAATAACTGAAATGGATTCTTTGATACACTGAGCTATTAGTAAAGCCAGAAGAACAGTGAAGAAACACAGGCTCTTATATTATTTATATATTTATTTGCATAGTAATTTTCAGGGCATGTAATTTATAAGTTTTCAAGGAAAGCTCTGTTTTCAATTACTAGACATAAAGGTGGGAGAGAGAAGAAACGGAATCGAAGAGACGTAGACATTTGCTAATATTTGGATATTCAATAATTCAATTATAAAGATTAGTCAAAATGAACAAGAAAAAGAGAATGACACACAACTTTAGATATATAGAGTAGGAAAACAAAAATCAATGCATAAAATGCAATGAAATCAGTTTTTTAATGAAAGGTAAAAAAGAAACATGAATTGTAAAGAAACATAAATATTCAAATCTCTTGGAAAGCAAATATCAAATTTACTCTAATTTACAGGATAAAATTATGTGAGGCTTTATTCCCTACATTCATGTAAGTTCATGCATTAGATATAATGATGTTTATATGGTGTTACATTATTTTTGCTCTCCATCACATTTCCAGAATTCTAGTATGCTAACAATCCCCATATTAGTTAAATAAATTAATAAATTAATAAATTAAACTCTTTACAATAAAATAAATATAAAAACACCACATATAGGATTTACAGTTTTAAAATATAACTTAGACTTAACTCTTTTCTCTACTTCTACATTTAGATGACCAGAAAAGACATGGCTCACATCAACTGCACCCAGGTGGCAGAGTTTATTCTAGTAGGCCTCACAGATCATCAGGAGTTGAAGATGCCCCTCTTTGTGCTATTTTTATCCATCTATTTATTCACAGTAGTAGGCAATTTGGGTTTGATCCTACTCATTAGAGCAGATTCAAGGCTCAGCACACCAATGTACTTCTTTCTTAGCAACCTAGCCTTTGTAGATTTCTGTTACTCTTCCGTCATTACACCCAAAATGCTTGGGACTTTCTTATACAAACAAAATGTTATATCCTTCAATGCATGTGCTACACAACTGTGCTGCTTTCTCACCTTCATGATATCGGAGTGCTTGCTACTGGCTTCCATTGCCTATGACCGGTATGTGGCCATTTGTAACCCTCTATTGTATATGGTTGTAATGTCTCCAGGAATCTGCATTCAACTTGTAGCAGTTCCTTATAGCTATAGCTTCCTGATGGCATTGTTTCACACCATCTTCACCTTCTGCCTCTCCTATTGCCACTGCAACATTGTCAACCATTTCTATTGTGATGACATGCCTCTACTCAGGCTAACTTGCTCAGACACTCACTTCAAACAGCTATGGATTTTGGCCTGTGCTGGTATCACATTCATCTGCTCTGTTCTGATTGTCTTTGTCTCCTACATGTTCATTATTTTTGCCATCCTGAGGATGAGCTCAGCTGAGGGAAGACACAAAGCCTTCTCCACGTGTAGCTCTCACATGCTGGCAGTCACCATATTCTATGGCACCTTGATCTTTATGTATTTACAACCAAGCTCAAGCCATTCTCTTGACACCGACAAAATGGCCTCTGTCTTCTACACAGTGATCATTCCCATGCTGAACCCATTAATTTACAGTCTCAGGAACAAAGATGTAAAAGATGCCCTGAAGAAAGTCATCATCAGTAGAAACCACGCTTTTATGTTTCTGAAACTGCGAAAATGAGTTCAATAAACAAAAATGGACATTCCTTCATAACCGGTTTTCCCCCATATTAATAAAATTATTGGAGTACCTTGCTCTTAATTGGTAAGAAATAAGATCTGTTTACTGAAAAAACATTCTTTGCATTTTTGTAAGTTCTTTTAACATAAAATCATATTTCATATGTAGAAAGTACATAAGAATTTACATCATTGCTCACAGGAAAAAATGTATTTTAAAAATGTATTGTCTCATCTAATAGTTATACAACTAGGTGCTGCCAAGAATAGAAAAAATGAAGGCACTCTGAATGCCCAGTTTAGGATTATGCGAATTCTTTAATACATTCCTAAGAGTGTTTTATAGTATATCTAAAATTAAATTAAGTGATATTTAATTAAATTACCTGCAACTGTAAAACAGTGGCTTTACATAGAAGTAATTTTTCTCCCAGGGGGACATTTGGCAATGCCTAGACTTATTATTGATTTTCACAATGACAGGGTATCATGAAGGAATGCTATTGCTATCTAGAGGGTTGAGACCAGGTGTGCTTCAAAGTATTTTACAATTCACAACATGGTCCCTTACTCAAAAAGTATACATCCCCAAATGATAGTAGTGCTAAAGCTGAGAAAGCCTGTTTTAAATGGCTTTCTCCTTAAGAGTCATTCTGTAGATTCATTCAGATCAAGCTGGTTGATAGGGTTGCTGAAGCCTTTTGTAACGTTATGGTTTTCTCTTTATTTGCTCTACCGATTTTTAAGACTGATACTAAAATCTCAAGTTAAATTATGTATTTACATTTATTTTCTGTTGGTTTTAATTTTAGATGTTTTGGGGCTCCTTTGTCATTTGTGCATGAATTTCTAGTTACTCAATTTACTGATTTATTTTCTTATTAGCATGATTATATATGCTTTTTCTTTTTTGTGTTGACATTTTATGACCAAAAGTTTTTTTTTTTCTGACAATATAAGTACTTTGGCTATCTTGTAGGTAAATTTTGTCTCTTGTTGGCAGCCAATAGTTGGATCTTGTCTTCATAATTAACTCTGAATAGCTCTTCCTCTTAATTAGAGCATAAAGTCCGTTCATATTTAACATGATTACTGATATGGTTGAATTTATGTTGTTAATATTTAAAATGTTAATGACATTTCTTTTTTTATTTCCTTGTTTGAGCTCTAATGCCTTGTATTAAAAATTTTAAGTTAGAAATTTAATGTCTGCTAAGTTAAATATATACACACATAAATGGACACACACAGACATGCATTAGTGATGATTGCTCTAAGGATTTATTTATTTTAACTTATCATAATCTACTTCAGATTAATACTAGCATACTACTATGTAAATACATACATACATACACACATATGTAATGTCTACTTATAAACCTCAAGACACTATTATGATCATTGAATATGTATGCAATTTTGTATCATTAAGATAAATTAAGAGGAGACAAGAAATATGCAATTGTATGTCATTATATAAATGAAGAAGAGAATATGTATGTACACTCTCTATATATACACAGATGTATAAGACTATGTCAGTAATATGACTTGATATGTCAATAAATATAAAAATTGATTGATATATCTGCCATTTCCACTGTGCTTCATGTATTTCTGTGATTGAAATTCTCCTACAGAATAATTTCCTGTCGTCTGAAAGACATTCTTTTGTACTTATTATAAGGCAGATTTGCTAGCAATTAATTATCTTAATCTGATTTACCCAGGCCAGTCTTTAAGTTACCTTTATTTCTGAAATATAATTTGGCGGGATATAGTAGTCCCTGTGTACAATTGTTTTCTTATAGCAGTTTGGACATGTCATCCCATCACATTCCATCTCTTCCTTGTAAGAAATCATCTGTTAAACTTATTGTGGTATTCTATGGAATGCAACAACTTCCAAGATTTTTTGCTCTTGTTGCCTCTCAACATTTCAATTTTGCTTAGCCTAAGGATTTCTTAGCGTTAATCTAACTTATGGTTGGTTGAGTTCCTTAGATCCACATGTTAATTTTTTTCTTCTCAAATTGGAGTTCTCAATAATTTATTCTTCAGGTATTTTCCCCTTTCTCTCCCTTCCTTTCTTCTGAGAGTCCCACTTTTTTTTTTTTAAACTGGTACACTTGATGTGCCACACTTTATTGGTACCACTTTCTGGTGCCCTAGAAGTCTCCAGAACTTTCTTCATTTTTCTGTAATATTCTTTTTCTCTATTTTGTAGACTAGACAAATTTCATTTACCTATTTTTAATTTTACTAATTCTGTCTTCAACGTTATCACTATTCTGTTTGGTCTAACGTTTTATTTCAGTTATTGTATTTTCATCTCCAAATTTTCTACCCGGTTCTTTAAGAAGCATATATTTTAAAATTTTCCACATTTGGCAGATATTGTTTTCATACTTTAACTTCATATGTATGGTCTCCTTTGTTTTCTTTAACACTTTTATAACAGAGATTTTGCAGTTTTCGTATAGAAAGACCAACAGCTAGGATTCCCTTGGTGAAAGTTTCTGTTGATTATTTTCTTTTCCTCATCAATGGAACTGAATTTCCTAATTCTTTGTTCCTAATTTTTGTCGAAATTGGACGTTTTACATTAGTATCAACTATAGCAGTCAGACCTTACACACACACACACACACTCTCTCTCTCTCTCTCATACACACTCACACACATACATACACCATGGGTTTGTTGGTTTTGCCCAGTCCTTTTTATATTGTTAGAATTTTCATTGGTGGCATTTGTTTTCTTAGTTACTTTTTGGACTAATTCTATAAAATCTGTATTTCCTGTAGTGTGTGGTCACTGGGATGTTCTGCTAAGTTAGCTAAGGGATCAGCTAATGATTGGATCCCAGGGTTTGTATCAAATGTCTTTGGCCTTCTCATTTATGTCTCTTCAGCTGACTGTGTGTAATTCCAGTTGTGATTTTCATGTTCTGTCTATAAAAGACATATTTGGGGAATCTTGTCCATTTTCATTTTCAGATAGCAGAAAATATACTATATTTGGAGAAAAAAAGTGATTTTATAATTGCCTTCCACCCCTTGTCTTCCCTATCACACTCCCCCAACAAAGCCTTTTGCATTGTAGAGGATTATTTTGCTTTTGCTTTCTCAGAAAAACACACAAAATAAAACCAAACCAAAAAAAAAAAAAAAAAAAAAAAAAACAACAACAACAACAAAACCCACGACAACTGAAACCCCACAACTTAGACAGGGTGGCCTAAATGACAGAAATTTATTTTCTGACAGCTCTGAAGAAGTCCAAGATCAAGATACTTTCTGATTCAGTTCCTAGTTAGATCTCTCTTCATGACTTGCAGTCAGTCACCATCTTGCTGTGTGCTCACATGACCTTTTGTTCGTGAGCTTACAGGAGAGAGAGAGAGAGAAAAAAAAGAGAGCGATCAAGCATACACTTTAGTGTCTCTTCTTATAAAGGCACTAACACCATCATGAGGACCCCTCCCTCATAAAGTTATCTAATCTTAATTTCCTCCCAAAGGTGTTGTCTCCAAATATCATCACAATGGGAGTTTGGAGATTCAACGTATTAATTTTGAGAGATACAGTTCAGCTCCTAGCAGTTGCATTGTTCTGTAGTAAGTATTAAAATAACGTTCTTCCCTTGCTCTGGCCACAAATTGACTAATAAAATAATTTGGAAGACTACTCTGTAGACCAGGGAACTACAAAATTAAGTAATAACAGAGAACAACATCCTTAAAAAAGACGAAAATATTTCATAAGCATTTCAAAAAATTAGCCAAAGAGAGAATATCATGTATTAAGTTATTCTGGGATAGGTTACTGGGAGTTGCATATTAGTTCTTTGGAAGATATATTGTAAAAATTTTTGCAAGGTAATTTTTATCTTTCTTTTAAAGATAAATCTAAAACCTATCAGCAACAACAACAAAAGGAAAAGAATACAAATAAATAAATAAGCAACAAGAACAACAATATGAACAATTAAAACGAATAAATAAAATGATAAAGTATATAAATAAATAGCATTATTAATAATAAAATTATTGATAAATAACATTCCAAAAATAAGAACATTGAAGCAATAATGTCATGCTAAAATAGAGCTATAGATCTTTGGTCCTTAAAGCCAGATAATAATGTTAATTTATCTCTAGCCTGCTTTGGAATCCCTTGGGTTATTAACTATTTTTCTGATACTTTTACTTGCATCATTCTTCTAAATGAGATCCTATGGGACAGAGTTACTGTCAAAACTCTGTATTTTGTTGCTGTCCAAACCCACTTGGAGAAGAAATAGCAACAACCTCTATGCAAGTAAGTTCAAATAATATATTTCAAAATGAAGATCAAGATAAGCATTTAAAAAATGAAGTACCATAGAATATAATGAACATTAGAATATAACATTTGAGATGGTATTTTCTGAAATAAGGCTACTGTTTCCTATAATCTTATTTCAGTTATATATGTATGTGTTATATAAAATATATTTCTTATTGGTGTGAGATGGAAAGAAATGATTTGGGAAAACCAAGATAAAATTTATCAGGCTGCTTGGAAAATCTGGACAGTTAATTGACTAGATTGCAATTTATGTCAACAGTGTCCTTCCTATTTTTGCCCAAATGAAAGGTGAGCATATCAAAACCAAGTCATCAATATGTCACTTAATATGTTTGTTATAAGCAAAGAATATTACTTGTGAACCAGTGAAATAAATATTGAAAGGTTCTTGCAAAAATTTAATTATTAATTTCCCATTACCAAACATCTAGAAGGGGCTACATCAAGAAATTAATTAAAATTTTATGGCTTCCACCCATGGAGTCAGCAGTTTATCAAAAGAAAATATATGAAAACAGATGGTTGCCATATAGGTGATATAGGTAAATGAATTAGGTATACAACGTTTCTAGAACACAAAGATGAAAGACAGTACCACAACATGGGAACCAGAAATTAGGGAAACCCTGAAGTATAAACAGTTTTCACTGCAGCTCTCCATCTGCCATTCACGTGGTGGAAATAAGCAGAAGCAAAAGCTCATATAAAGGCTGGGGAACATGTAAAGGACATGTTGTATTTGAGGACCACAAAATAATTTTTCTAATTGATCACTGGGTGTTAGTAGTGGCAGAGGGAAGAGATGTCCCTGGAATTTTGATGGAAAACATCGTGGGCTATATTGCAAAAAGTCATGCATAATTTTTTTTCAAATATAATGTATACTCTACCTTTAAGATGAGATAAAGTGGTACTTTTAGGTGAGATAATAAACTTCTTACAGTTGTCAAACAGCACAGCCTTACCTGAAATCTCTGGATGTAGAAACTAAATTTTCAGTCAAATAGTTGCTTAACTCAAAACAAAATGTGTGTATTTGTATGAACACCAAAAAGTCTTTAAAAACTTTGATGATATACCTACTTCATGTAACAATAAGCAGCAGCAGCAGCAGCAATGATCAATAGTATCTGTGGTTATCTTCTTCATAGAAAGGAGTAGAAACATACATGCATACATACTCAAAAATTTTTTATTTTTTATTCCCACTTCCATCATTTATAAAGAACATTTAACATTTCCTGATATATTTCCCTTCTGTTTCCTGAAATAATAAAATATATAAATTATTTTGTCAATTTATGATTTGCTGAGATTATGTTTCAGGAACTAAAATTTCAGGCCACTTTTCTCTATATTCAATTTAAAAGACACATTACATGTAAAAGTTTAACTATACCTATCAACTTCCATCAGTTAAGGATTTTCCATGTGTTTTTACTATTTTTGTTTTTTATTTCCTCAGACTTCTCTATGTACAAGTCCTTGTTTCATGAGGACAATTTAGCTCAGTGCCCTTCCCCACCTGAAGATTAACAACCTAAAATGAAACCATACACTGCTTACTTGCAAACACCTCCTAGTGGCAATATCTCTGGCTTTTCAGAACAATTCTTTCAGTACTTTTCTGATATAAAGTGTCACTTTTTCCTTGTACTTAGTACCTAGACTAATCATTTTTATTCTGTATTCCAATTAAAAGGAAATATATATGTATATATATATATGTCTCTGTGTGTATTTGTTTATAATATACATATATATAAACAAATATATATGTATACAGATATATGTTTGCAAATTAAGTTTCTGTTAACATTAAATCAAAATCATAATGATTTTAATAATTTTTGGAGAAATATATATTACTGCCTTTTCTCCTTCTAGAGCTTCTAGCACAGTGCTAAGCATTCAGTAGGTCCTCAGTAAATACTTGCTCAGTTAGATGAATCCTCTATCCTAACTCTTGACACCAATAGGCTTTCTTTTCATCATCATTATAGTCTTACATGACAGTTGGCTGACGCATATTGATTTTTTCTCCCAGTGCTACATTATTTAATAATATTTCATAGGATTGATAATGACCTTTCATAGTAAAGAGGCAATATGATACAGTATTAAAATATGAGATTGTATTTTTAATTATAGCAATGTCATGCAATAGTCATTGCACCTCTAAGTCAAGTTATTCAAGCTTTTTTTTTGGCTTTTTGCTGAAATATAAGAGTAAAGTCTCCTTCCATTTTTCCGTGTATGTGAGTTTAAGGGGTTCTAGTGTGGTTTTGTTAAGTGGATCTATTGCACAGTTGTGAAGTCTGAGCTGTGGTATTACCTTGAACCACAGCATTACCTACCCAGCTGTTAATGAATTTTAAAAGTGATTATGCTAACTTCTGCACGCATATAACTTTTAATATATCAGGGAAGCAAGCATAAACATTTTTGCTACTAAATAGCATAATGTAACATGTGATCTCTCTTGCTCGCTCTGTCTTTATATAAAAAATTTAAAACAACTTTGAGAAAAACATAAATTTCATTATCCACACTGGAAATTAGACTTGGTATACATATACAACTAAAGTAAGAACTCATATTTTCTAATTTTCTTTTCAAATAATGGCTCTTATGTACTACAGGTCTTCCTTAAATTACTTTAAAGCAACTTCAGATTATTGATCTATTTATTTATTTGCATTAATTTAAGATTTTTATTGAGCAACTATTTTTTAAGTAATTACTTTCAAAGTATGCTAATATTAAAAAGGTAAAAAATATAAAAATATGCCACTTAAAATGATACAATAATAAAATATAGTTAATATAAAAATAATTCAAATTATACGGTTATCCCTTGGTATTCATGGGGGATTGATTCCAGGACTCCCACAGATACCAAAAACCACAGATGCTTATTAAGTCCCTTATATAAAATGACATAGCATTTGCATATAAACTAAACATATTCTCCTGTATACTTTAAATTATCTTTAGAACACTTACAATGCTTGATACAATGTAAATGTTATGGAAACTGTTATACTGAATCTCTTAGGAAGATATGACAAGCAAAAAACTCAGTACTTGTTTAGTACAAAGACACACACACACACACACACACACAGTATATATATATATATATATATATATATACACACACACACAAACATACACTTTTATACATATACATATATATGTGTGTGTGTGTATACATATATATATATATATATATACATATATATATATATATATATATATGTATAATATATACTTTTGATCTCTGGTTGGTTGAAGCCACAGATGTGAAACACAAAAATATGAAGGGCTGACTGTATGTTTTCAAATACATAATAAAGAGGCAGGACCCAGATAAATTGATGTAAATCTATTGAAAAGTAAATGCCTCTTTATTTTAATTAGGCAAAATATTTTCTAAACGTGTAAGTATCCGTTGTATTTGGTCAGGTAAGTTAACGCTTTACATGTAAAGATGTTTCTACAACTACATATCAAGGAACACGTAGAGAGATAATTTAGGCATGCCATGATGGAATAAATTTAATATATTACAAACATAACAGTGAGGTGCATGGACTCCTGTGTCAGAAAAACACATTTACATTCTACTTACTTCAGGTACTTAACCTCTCTGTGACTTTTTCCCTAATTTTTAATATGGGCACAATAAAAAATGAAATAAACACCTATGAAGCATACTGTTGCATCTTTTCAGTATTTGGATTATTAAAACAATTATGAAGATTGTGTAGAAAGCTATAGAAATCTCTCTATGGTGAGTAATGAACAATAAAATAATAGATCATTTTATGTATGTCAGTATCACAGCAATATGTAGTTTCTGTTGTGGAGATACAATGACAAATATGTCAGAGTGACATCATTAGACAAGATTTGTTTTCCTTTGTGCTATTGATGCTAGCATATTCCAATAAATGTTAAATGTCAATAATAGTTTTAAACATTTAAAAATTACTGCCAAATTTTAAATAATATAATGCACAGAACTTTAAACAGATTTTGAGCCAATGTGGATCAAAGCTATACTACCCTTACAGCTCTTACCTTTATAATTACTTTGTCCAGAAAGAAATGTGTTCCCACAAAATATCTTCTTTACCTTTCATCCCATCCCATCCCCATATCCCAAGTGAGCTAATAATTTTAATACTAAATTACCACTTACATATTAACAATAAAATTGATTTTAAGGATATTAAGGTATTAAAAAAACAATGTATAAGCTTGATTAAACTCTCTTTTTATCCAGACAACCTCAAGAGGTATGACTCAGATCAACTGCACCCAGGTGACAGAGTTTATTCTTGTGGGCCTCACAGATCGTCAGGAGTTGAAGACGCCCCTCTTTGTGCTGTTCTTATCCATCTACTTCTTCACGGTAGTAGGCAACCTGGGTTTGATCCTACTCATAAGAGCAGATGAAAAACTCAACACACCAATGTACTTTTTTCTTAGCAACCTAGCCTTTGTTGATTTCTGTTACTCTTCTGTCATTACACCCAAAATGCTTGGGAATTTCTTGTACAAACAAAATATTATTTCTTTCAATGCATGTGCTGCTCAGTTGGGCTGTTTCCTGACCTTCATGACAGCTGAGTGCTTGCTGCTGGCTTCCATGGCCTATGACAGGTATGTGGCCATTTGTAACCCTCTGACATATACACTGGTAATGTCCCCAGGAATCTGCATTCAGCTTGTGGCTGCTCCCTATAGCTACAGCATCTTGGTTGCACTGTTTCACACCATCCTCACCTTCCGCCTCTCCTATTGCCACTCCAATATTGTCAACCATTTCTATTGTGATGATATGCCTCTCCTCAGGCTAACTTGCTCAGACACTAGCTCCAAACAGCTATGGATCTTTGCCTGTGCTGGTATCATGTTCACTTCCTCCCTTCTGATTGTCTTTGTCTCTTATATGTTCATCATTTCTGCCATCCTGAGAATGCGCTCAGCTGAGGGAAGACAAAAGGCTTTCTCAACGTGTGGCTCCCACATGCTGGCAGTCACCATATTCTATGGGACCCTGATTTTTATGTACTTACAGCCTAGCTCTAACCATGCCCTGGACACAGACAAGATGGCCTCTGTCTTCTACACAGTGATCATTCCCATGTTGAATCCTCTGATCTACAGCCTTCGGAATAAGGAGGTAAAAGAAGCTCTGAAGAAAGTCATCATTAATAAAAACCAGACTTTTGTGTTTATTAAATTAGGTAAGTGACTTGAATATGTAAAAATGGACTTTTGTCATGGTATGATTTTTTTCCCCAGTAGAAGTTATCAGAATGGCTATTTCTTAATACGTGATCTATCTATACATACATATTTGTGGTGTGTAATACAATTTTCTAGAGAATTTCTCTTAGAATGTCCAGTGTAAAAGTAACTATAATAATTTACACTGCTTCTCTTATTTTTCAAATGAAAAATATATTAAAATTATTAATTGCATTGCATAATATTTTATACAAATTTTCCCATTTCCCAAATGAAGAGTATAAAAAGTCATCATCAAGATATATAATTAGTTATTACATCTTGTTCAGAGCACAGAGAAAAGTTAACTCTTGTCATCCATCTCCGGTTCAGGATTCTGAAGCTATATTTACAATATCCCACATGAAAAATAAAGACACATCATCTAAATATTTTCTTTCTCAATTCCTAATTTTTTTAAAAAAAGATATGACAATATAAAAATGTCCCATATTTATACATTTAATATATTGTCTTTATTATACAAAGAGTACTGCTTTCTAACGTCACCTATGGCACTGATCGAACATGCCGTTTAATTCCTGGAAGTCTTTCTCTCTCTGAAGACTAATTCTCTAAAAGAATGCTTTTCTTATGCCTACAAGATCTCATTATACTTTTTCCCAAAATGTGAAAAATGTAACTCAGGGATAGAATTCTGGAGGGAGTAGGGGAGGGCATTATAATTCAAACATATGTATTCACAGTAATTGAATCATCATAAATCATTTACCAGTAACAAGGATTACATGAAGTTGTGTCTGACAAAGCTCAGATAAGCTGGTCATTATTTATTAAGGTAATAGCTTATAACACAATGAACCCAGTAGGCAATGTAGCTAAGTGAATAAGCACACGGCTTATAGTCAAAGAACATGGTTAGATTCCAAACATGGCATTGGTCTCCATGTGTGCTCTTACCAGTTTATCCCTCAGATAAATGAGAATAATGTTACTCAGTTTAGAGACTTTTTGAGGACTAAGCAACATGGAAAGGGGTAATAGCTCGTGGTAGGCACTTGCATATCATTTCCCTTCCTTCTATGAACCTGCTAACTTGAATGCTAGCCTACGAATTATAAGTCACATGAACTTGAGGGAGCAATTTATAAATGAGGATTATTGTTCAACTCAGTCGATAAAATGATAAATGTGATAGAGGGAGTATGTGTCATAATCTTAAAGTATTTTTTTAAACTTTTATTTAAAGTCATGGGTAGAAGTACGGGTTTGTTATATATGTAAACTGTGTCATGGGGGTTTGTTGTATAGATTTTTTCATCACCTAGGTATTCAACCTAGTACCCATTAGTTATTTTTCCTGATTGAATCCTTCCTCCCAGCGTCCAGCTTCCGAAGGGCCCCAGTATGTTTTGTTCTCCTCTATGTGTTTATGTGTTCCCATCATTTAGCTTAAGAAAGATTTGATTTTGTGACTCATACCTATCATTTAATATTTTTGCTTCACTCTTTAATCTATACCCCGTTTTCATACTTAATGACAGAAGACCAGAAAGATACTATGAATGCCCACTGAGAAGCCATCTTTCGGCCTGGTGTTCCCTTCCTCAGATGCCTGTTGTCTCCTTCACTCCTGTGCCACAGTTAGTTCTGTACAGAAACAGAGAAAGGGCTTGTTATAAGAATAAGGGCTAATAAGAATGATGGAGCATTTAGGAAATAAAGAATAGGGAAATATTGATTAGGGAAAGATTGATAAGGAAATAAAGATTAGGGAAATCATTGAAGGACTTGGAAAGCTACAGCTCGAAGATGAGCAGAACAGATCATGAAGACCTTAGCCCTGAACAGCAATGCAAATGCCCCCAGGAAACTCAGCATAACTAAGAATTCCTGAGAAAACTCCTGTCCTAAGTAGCAGGGAAGGGGGCACTGCAGTTTGTGACTGTTTTGGAGCTCCCATATCTTCTCCATGTCCATTCACAACTGGCATTACATAAATGCTTTCTATTGACACAAAAATGATGAATTTAAAAATCCAAAACATAATGGCTTAAACAAATGCAATGTGTTATTTACCACATGTCGTAGGACAGTTTCTGTACTGGACTATGCTTGGCTAATCTTGTCTGCATCCACTCATGAGTTTGTACTCAGCCTGTGTGTTGCCTGGAAACAAGCTGCCCTAAGATGTCCCCACCTGTGAAAACTACTTTAGCACCATATGACTTCTCATCTGCCAACAGGTTAGCATGCATCTGTGGTCCTGGCAAAGGCAGAAGAGCAAGACAGGAAGTTGAAATACACTACGCCTTTCTCAGGCCTACATTTGTGTCAAGTCTGTTGTCAAAACATCAGCTAAAAACAAGTCACATGACTGAGGTCAGAGGCAGAATACAGAAGTACTACACATTTATAGAAAAAGAGCATGATTACAAAGAAGCCTTTAACTGGGGCTGTTAACTCGACTAATTAATCTACTGTGCCTGAAAAATGAGCTAGAGCAGCATTCCTAATTATGACGTATTAAGTTTCCAATATTCTCGTATGTTCATATCCAAAGCACTGGGTATATTCCTTTGGAAAAAATCTGCAAAGGAGCTATTGCATTAACATGCTGTAGTTTAGGAAGGTCCTGCTTCAAGGAAATTCAGTTCTCATTTCAATAAAAGAGTTTTATTATTATAAGTTCTGAGGTACATGTGCAGAATGTGCAGGTTTGTTACATAGGTATATATGTGCCATGGTGGTTGACTGCATCAATCACCCTGTCATCTACATTAGGTATTTCTCCTAATGCTTTCCCTCCCCTAAAACCCACCCCCTGCTATCCCTCCCCTATCTCCCCACTCCTTAACAGGCCCTGGTGTATGATGGTTCTCTGCCTGTGTCCATGTGTTCTCTTTAATCTATGTTTGGACTTAATTATGAAAAAATCCTAAGGAAAAAAATGTTCATTGTGACTGGTGTTATTAGCTTTTTTTTTCTCACGAGCTCTGTATTTTGTCTAAATACACAAATGGAAAAAATATTTTAAGACGCTATGCTTTATGTGTCCCCTACAGCTATAGAATTATATACAATTATTAAACAACATCAACTGCCCATTCATCTATAACCCACGATCCATAGAAACTGGGTTAAGTACCTCAGTTACAGCCTAACAAAGTATTGTAACCCAATACCAGTATTTCATCCACCTTGTTGTCACCATTTCAGAATAACAACATCCCTTACTGTTATTAGAGAGCACAGGTCTGTAGGTCCACTCCATTCATACAGGCCAAAGTAGAGGCACAGCCACTACTGAGCCCCTGAAAAGCATACCAGTTCCCTCTATGCTAGTGCATTCCTTATTGCCCAAGCAAAGACAGTGTCTTCTGTGACTTCCTAAAAACAAAGACCGGTAAGGAGTCTTTATTTCTACATAATAAATTCATCATCACACTCCTACATTTCTCAATTTTCTTCCTGTGTCTTCATTACTATGTGAGAGTATTTCTAGTTGTCTGTTTCGTATAATGTCAGACATGTTTCAATATAGACTTTAAGGAGCCATCTTAGAGAATTTCTAGAACAAGCTTCAGCTATTATTAGCAAACATTCTTCTGGATGAAGGAGTTCATCTATTTCTGTTGAATGACAACAGCTAGGTGCCAATTAACCTGTGGTTTGTATGCATTCCACTCCTAGGGAGGACAACAAAATTTTTTTTTTTTAAAAGTAATCCTTGCTGTTGAACTACAATGCCAATTATAACAACACGTTGTGATATTAATCTCAGAAGGCAGATTTAAGTGTTATTAACTGGAAAAGTTATCTTTCACCTAAAACTTTATAAAATTTGCTGCTATATATGAGGCCCACAAGCTCAACATTTATTTTAAATGAATTCATAATTGTAATCAAAAGACGATGTAACAAAATTAAAGCAAGTGTAGGAAATAATCAAAGCAGATATAGCCATTAATCAAATTGTTTTCCCAAAAGAGATCATTAAAATATTCCTCTACTCCCCACTCATTTATTGACTAATAGCTGAAAGACTACTCTACCATTTCAAGGGAAATAGTTTTGTCCCCAAACATTAAACATCAAATAATTGCCTGTTACTGAATCATCATTATGTTGTTTTGCAATGTTTATTTAACAAAAGTAACAATAAATACAAAGTTTCCAGAGGGACCATAAAAAAAAATAATACAGAGCTGTCTCACATCCAGGTAATTTTAAATGTTACTGGCTTCACAAAGGTCGCTTTCAGGTGCAATGTACTATTTGGAGATTTGTTGTTGAACTGAAAGACAGCATTTTGAATATAGAAAGACATTAGGTAGAAAAAACAAAAGACTCAAACTGAGTTGTGGGAAAGGCATCAAACTTATATGACTACTACTTCTATTCGCTTAATCATTTAACAGATAATTATTGATGATTTGTTGATACTAGATACTACTAGAGGTAAGTAATTAAGATGGGTATAATTTAGGAATTAAAACTTGCTTGAAAAGGAGAGTTTCAAGTTTAAGGTGTGTTACAGAAATGTTAACAGTTGGTTGCAATATAATGTGGTAAGTGCTATCTTAAAGCAATTAGTGGATGCAGAATAGTGTATATGAGAAGCACCAATTTTGGCCTAGGAGGTCATAAAAGCCTCTGAGAGGAAATTATTTAACAGAATAATTTTAAGTTAAGTAGAAGAAAAATCAGGGATAGGTAATAATAGCGGAAGAAAAGTGTTCTGGGCACAGAAGGAAACCCATATATATATGTAGATCATGTTTGAATAACTGTGATAGTTGATCATATCTGGAATGTGAAGGCCACATGCAGAATGCTGTGGTCTGAGACTCGTGGCCTAGGCTTTCTCCTTCCTTCCTTCCTTCCTTCCTTCCTTCCTTCCTTCCTTCTTTCCTTCCTTCTTTCCTTCCTCCCTCCCTCCCTCCCTCCCTCTCTCTCTCTCTCTCTCTCTCTGTTTCTTTCTTTCTCTCATTCTGTCACCAGGCTGGAGTGCAGTGGCTTGATCTTGGCTCACTGCAACTTCCACCTCCCAGGTTCTAGCAATTCTCTGCCTCAGCCTCCCAAGTAACTGAGACTACAGGTGTGCACCAACATGCCCAGCTAGTTTTTGTATTTTTTTTTAGTAGAGATGGGATTTCACCATGTTGGCCAGGACGGTCTCGATCTTTTGACCTCGTTGTCTGCCCGCCTCGGCCTTCCAGAGTGTTGGGATTACAGGTGTGA